GTTGCATACATTCTTCCTAGTGGTTAATTGCTGTACAAGATGCGGACATGATATCCTATTTACAAACACCATTAGAACAAATTCCTCTATTCATTAAGAGAATGTAACTATATATCTAACCTAAGTGCTTTGGATACACAGATACAAAATGGGCATTCATCTGTATCCTCTTTTTTTGTTAAGTTCTGTTATTTGAATATTATAGGTGTGTTAACTCAGCAAAGTAAAAAAAAAAAAGTCTTGCCTCTTTCTAAAGCAGTTCTGTAAGTGCTTTTTGGTAAGACCTGATCAAAATTATGGTGAATGCTGCTCTGGGGTGCCGTTTACCTGAAGGCCAGGCTTGCAAGAGCATTACCTGTGTCCGTGTCACCTTTATTCACTGGGCCTGCTACCTGGACCATGTGACCTCTGGATCTTCTCCAAGGCCAAAATGACTCTTAAATGTAAAAGTTTCTTAATCAGTTCAGGATGTTGAGGCAGCCACAACTCAAGACATTCATAAATTGGACTTGTAGTGAGACTTTCTGAAAGTGGCAAGAAAGACAGGATGAGTGTGTTCAGAGTGAGGGCAAATATTTTGAAGGGTATTAACAGCACTGTCTCTTACTGTAATAAGTTATTTTTATTTAAATAGTATTTTTCAATAACACCTGATATTCCTGTTACTATCCACTGCTAAGTTCATTTCTTCCTGGAAAGCTGAAGTTCACTTACTGTTGATTACCAATCATATTCATGCCCCCATGGGTCTCATTAACTGTTACTTATAAAAATCTATTTATAGTAGCTTAAGATAAAAGGAGAAAAATAGCAAGTAATTTGCGTATGATGTACTTATCGTCATATCTCCCATTACATATTTTAAATACACTAGAAATGGGGTGAATTTTCAGATTGATCTATTCAGTATCTGGATTAAAGACACGAGCAATAGTCCTTTAGCTGTGAGGTCCCTTGGCCTGCCTTGTTTTCTTTTACTTTCTGTGGTTGCCCTGTCTTATTGTAGTTGATCCCAGTTTCCAAATAGGCATATCTAGTTTTGCAAAATGGTTCTTGAAGGGTTTATTAAAATACAATCATTCGAAGCTATTTCAGATAATGTAGTGGGTCTGCCACGTAGTAAAATGGCAATTTGTTTTGCTTGTGTATGGCAGTTTTAATTATAAAATGGTTACCTTTTAAGGCAGCCTTACTCTACCTTTTGTTGGATTTCAGATTGTAAGTCTATCTTTTAAAGCATCAGTGGTTGTTGGATTTGGTAACTTGGCCCCCAGAGTCACGGTGTACCACTCTAGCAATGAAATGACTTCTGTCTGTGGGAGATAAAGCAAATTCTTTTTATTAACCATCAGTTCTTTAGCCACCCTGCTCTGGTTTCTACAAAAGAAGTGATGGTGTGAATTGACAGCTTTCCCGTTTCCTTGGCAGTTGTCCTTTGCAGTTTTCCCTTTGGAATGTTCCTTTGAACTTTTGCTTCATCGGTGAAAACCACTGATTTGCCAACTTCACTGGGATTACTGGATTGCACTCTTTTAAGGAACAAATCCACAGGTCTAATTTATGTGTAGCAAAATTACTGTTGTAATAGATCTGTGACTTGGTGGAAACCAAGGAGTCCGTTAGGGTGCACTTTTCAGTGCATGTTTTGGCCGTGAATGGGGTCCCGAGTCTTGAAGTGTGCTAGAAAGAGTAGTGAAGATTTTTGTCTTGAGCCTTGCAAACAGTAACACTCTACCTGATCTGCAGTCACTCACTCCCAGCCCACAAAGTTCCCGTCTGTTCACAGCCGTTGACCGTTGCGATCGCTGGGCCCACCCAACAGTACAAGTTCCTTGACGATTTTAAAGGCGTAAATCCGGGTATGTCCATTGCTTACTGTGGCCTGCGTGCACCGACTGGGAAGACGCAACCGACAACCCGCAAGGGTTGCTAGGACCGAACGCTGACCTTTGCTTTTAAACTCGTCGGGAAAATATACCAGTGATCGTCAGGGTGAGAACAGGGAGGGTGCTGGGGACTGGGGAGAGAAGTGAGATAGAATCCGGGCGCAGCAGTGCGGGGCCGGGAGCCCCAGGGCGGCGGGCGGCG